GGGCCATTTTCTAATGATGCTCAAAGCAGTTTCTCAGATTCCCAAATGTGCCAAGGGGTTCAAAAATGTGGGGATGAAGGTGCCCTGTACTAGAGTATAATCCAGATAAGGATTATTACTGCTTGATCAGTTTTGGAATGAATTAGGCCTTTTTTGGCTTTTTAGCCCAACTTTTTGCAGAATTGAAAAGAAGGAAAGAATCTTTCTTGTACAAAGTTGAGTACAAGAAACTGTGTTGACCTTAGAAATGGTCCTTGGATGAAAGCAAGTGGCAAGAAAGAGTTGGTGCCAGCAGGTAACTTGGTGTTTACTAAAATATTGCATAACTAAGAAAATGTTACTTCCTGATGAACATCTTTGATCAGTGTGCATTCTTACTGTACTAAAACTATTTTTACACTGAGATAAATGGTTACATCATTGCTGTACATGTATTAGTCATAAATTAATGTATACGTTGCAGTCATTTAAATAATGAAAAACGTGGAAAACTTAATCCATAAATAATACCTTTATAATGATTTTGGCAAATGCTGCATCAAGCAGCACTGTTTTGGTTTTCATACTGGCTCTCTAGGGATTCAGGCAGAAATCTTTGCCAGCTCTACTTTTCTTAACAAGGGAGGCTATGAATTCAGTTTGGGCTCCCACACATGGAAAACATAAAATCACAAAAGCATTAACTTCCCATCATGAACTTACTGATTGCAGCAGTCTCCAACCAGTAAATAAATACATTTGAACAGTCTCACTTGTTTGTTTGAAAATAGGTGAAGTTTGCAATTAACTTTTCATACATGCATAGACTCTGACAGTGCAACAAGTCTAATTCATTAAGCATTTTGGACTTGGCCTGTTTTTGTTTGGGTAGTAGTTTGTAAATAGTGTACTGGAATGCATGACAGAATTGCAAAGTGGAAAAATCCTTCACGGGAGGTAAGATAAAAGGATTTTCCTAGTTGAAGCAGAAACCATCACAATTTCATTGGGAAATAACACTTCCTAGCATATTTCTATTTTAAAAAGACAAAAACTGATCTTACTAAAGCTGAAACAAATATTAAACCAATTGCTAATAAAAATATTGGTGATTGTTTTTTCAAAATTAAAAACACATTTCATATATCAGGTTTCATCAGTAGAGAAACTCATATTAGTTTCTACCTGCAAAGCTTAACTTCCAACACAGAAACTTGAGTTTTGCAGCTCACAGCACCTCATACCTCACAATACCAAAAGCCATTACTGCCTTTAAAACTTGAACACTAAGAGAAATAGCCAGTATATGGAGCAGATAGTATATGCAGATTAATTTGTTTGTAGTTTATTCTTTAGAATATGGCTTCATAGACTACTTAAACTACTTTCTAAATTTTCAAATAGCCGTTTGGAATTCAGTACTAGGGCAGTCTAAAGGAATCTCAGTGTAGGAGCCAGAATACCGCAAGCATGCAAGATACATCTACCCTTTGAGAATTTGATACTGGAGCAGTTAAGAAACTGCTACTGGTGCAGGTTTAGCATTTCCTCTGTTTTCCCTTTAAGCTCTTCTCAAGCCTGACTATATTCCTTAATAACTACATGAGCTTGGATCCAGACCAAGTAATACTTAAAGTAGACCCTTTGAATTCAGTTAGACTTCCATAAGTCCCATTTGTTTAATCAGATCTAGTTTAATCATGATTCCATAATCCATAAACTACTGTTTAAACCTCAGGAGTTTAAGTACTTTCTCACAGTTTTGAGGGAAAAGATTCTAAAGAAAGATCTCCCCCATTAAAAAAATGTGTGCATTCCTAGAAAATACATGTAGCCCAGTGCATCTTGACCTGAGGTAGAAATGTTCTGCTTTGCTTAATTTGCTTTTAATTTTCAAGCTTATGCTGTACATTTAGTAACATGACTCAACAGATGCTTTTTTAGGATGCTATTTGCTACAAAATTAATAACACCTGGTTTTAAAACTGTTCTATGCACACGGCAAGATGGCAGTCTCAAGCAATGTATTATATTGCATTGCTTCATCTCTCTCTCTGTGTGAAGGGGAGTCCAAATAAAAGAGGAAATGGTGTTTATACATTAAAGGAGACAATAAAAGTCTAAGAGAAGCATACATAGCAGAAAACATTTGATAGCTCTTCTGTAGTTATATTTTTCACTTACATTTTATCTCTACCACTGCATAATTTCAAACATGCCTTCTGGTTCATAATGAAGGGTGCCTGAAGTCCTATAACACAGTGGGGAATGCTGGGAATTGTAGGACATTTTTCTTCTAAGCATGCATAGGATTGCACCCTAATGGCATCCTGAAGCATGCTTGTGGAACTGGTGATTCCATTCTTCAGAAAAAGAATTTGCTATGAATGTCAAGCCTCATTATTCCAAGTCTGCTTGCTTTAGTTTTAAGCAAATACCTTGGCACGAAACCATTTAGTGTTCTGTACTGTACGCTGACATGGCATAGTTGCAGTGAACCTAATAAGTTCCATATTTCAGCTGGCTAGTTAAAACTAATGCATTTCCCCTAGCATAGTCGCCAAAACGGAAGTATAATTAGATAATTGATATTATGACATTAAGCCCTTTCAGATTTGATGTTAAGGTGGCATTCTGTGCAAGTTTAGAGGGGGAAAGGGCCTACAGCTCCCAGCATGCTATCTGGGAGTTGTAGCCCTTTCTTCTGTTTAAACTTGGATAGGATTTTACCCCCAATAAATTAAGCATGTGACTTCACACCATTGCTGACATTTCTAATTTTGATAAATGTATTTCCTGGTGATGGAAATAATATAATCTAAACAGGATACACATGACATATTTTTGATCTAAATCCATAATTCTTCTTTCTTTGAATGTGCAAAGAATCTAACTGTAGGTAGGCAATGTTGCTGCCTTTCACCTAGCATTTTAAAGTTTGTTTACCATATGAAGCTGCAGCATGGTCAGAAGTGAGACTTCCTAAGCCTATTTAGTCTATTCCGCTATAAAAATCACAGATTCTTGCCACTGAGATTTTCCCTGGAATAATCATGAGTTTGGATCCAGACTTAATCTCATCTGAGTTATACTTAGTCATAAATAACTTGACTTCCATTGATTTCAGTGCTGTAAGTTTGAGTATGTCTGGATCCAACTAATTTTTTTTAAAAAAAACCCTAGTATTTTAATAAGTAGGCATGAAAATAAGTACATCTCTTCAATATCCTGTATCCTTGTGTACTGCATATTACTCTTCAGTGGGTGCTTTGGAATTAGGGAGACAAAACTCTTTCGAGCATTTTAACATTCAGTGACTGTTTCGGCACAGTGCAGCTACAAAGCAACAGACCATTTGCGTCCATCCACTTGCAGCTTGGATCTGGAATTTTTTTTCAGTCTTACTGTAAACTGCTGAAGCTAAGAACATTAAATAGATTGTTATTTGAGAACGACCTGTGCCTATTAAAGCTCTTAAATTCCTTTATTTGTACATTCAAAAACTCACTTAAGAATTGTGCTTCTTTTCAAATTACCAAAACCATCAGAAATATTTTAAGTTCCTATAGCAAGACAATTGTAATCTTGCCCTGGTCTGAAAAGTATCAAGAATATTACTTACAGTCTACAAGTAAGCCAGAAAACAAAAACAAAAAAATTGTTAGATTTTCCTTTTAAAAAAATGGAAAGCACTGCTAAGAATAATACATCTTGAAATACTCAAAACAGAGTACTTCTTGCAACAAGCAAGAGGAAACTGGAATGTCATGAGGGAAGGGTAGGGAAAAGCATTTTTAGCCAATTGCATCATATCTTCCTATGCATGTAACCTATGCAGCTTTGCGATGTGTGTGTAGCCTTAACATTTTTTTTCTAGCAATTGTCCACAGTCAGAGATGGAATGCTGTTGCAGGCTTAAGTTAGTGAGGCTTACCAATGAAAGTTGGTGAGGTTCTGACACAACCCCTTTAATTTCAGGTGATGGATTTAATTCCTGCTCTGCCATCACAAGTGCAGAGTGGGAAATACTTTAAGAACATATGAAGAATACTACTTAATAACCAAAGGCCTGTCTGATACACCAGTCTGCTTCCCACACTGGTCAGCCAGTTGCCTAAAGTTAGCATTTTTTGTCCTGACAAGAATATCTGCCCCACTATTTTCGGATATAGGGGAGCAGAAAAGCTTAAAAATGGATATCAGCAAAGCTAATTGGAAGTGAATGTCTAAAGACTATTTTAAGAGTAATAAACTAAATTACTCAACTCTGTCTGGCAACAACTAGATGCTGCATATAAATCAAACTAAGCCTAAGCCTAACTAAAGTTACTCCAAACTTTAGTTCAGGCTGTCTCTTCATTTTTCTTAATACATTTGTGAAGCTCTGATGTACAATGTTTGAAAAGAAGCCCAGCAAAATCAGTCAAAGTGAATCACAACAATTAGAAAATCTCATGTAGTGTCTCTCAGAGAGCTGCACAGGCAAACCATGATCCTCTACATTTGTAGTGACTCAGGAGTGCCAGTGGAGATGTGCAAGGGAGGATAGTATCGACAATTATTTACCAGCAGTATTGAAGGAGAAAAGCTGTGAAGTTTCAAAGTTCAAGCATATCTTGTATTCAGTACTGGAGATCCAGTACGTGTTTTAAAACTGATCAATTTTTCTGGTCTTTACGATCTTGTCTAGGTATAGTAAGCACTTCTATGTCACATGCAGGACAAGCATTGGTTGTAGTAAAATATAGTGAGAAGGACATTTATTCATGTTTATATACAATTTTATTATTTCATATACCATGAGAACTGTTTCAGATAGAATTGTTGTTGTTAGTTGCGAAGTTGCATCCGACCCATCGCGACCCCATGGACAACATTCCTCCAGGCCTTCCTGTCCTCCACCATCTCCTGCAGTCCACTTAAGTTCATATCAGATATAATAAGAAAGGTTTAATTTGTATGATTATTCATTACATTTGTTCTAGTCATGTTTTAATTTCATGTTTGTGTTCTATATGCAGGAGCCCTTACCAAAGTTAAGGAAAGTAAGAGGCATGTGGAAGAAGGGAAGATGGAAACTCAGAAGGCTGATGGCATTCAGGATCGTTGTAACATTATTTCATTTGCTACTCTGGCAGAAATCCACCATTTCCACAAAATTCGTGTCAGGGACTTCAAATCACAGATGCAGCATTTCTTACAGCAGCAAATACTTTTTTTCCAAAAAGTGACACAAAAGTTAGAAGAAGCTCTTCACAAGTACGACAGTGTTTAACTTTAATATAGCTTAATTATTGGACTTTGGTGGATATTTCTTGGCATGGAATAAGCAACAGAGACAATGCCGCTGTCAAATATTGGTGGCACTTCTTGGGGCGCTTTACATGGATAACTTTGTAATCTCTTCTGGATTTCAGCTGAATCTAATAATTGCATAAGGAGAAAATAATTATGCCCATTTAGTGGAGACTGTATTACGCATTGTAACTAAGTTACACTCCAAATGCCTACACTACCATTGTAATGTTTTTGAAATAATGATTATACTATTTGCCTTATTGCTTTTTTGAGATATGGTATTTTAGTGCATATTCTGTAGACCACCAAACCTTTGGGTCTTTCAAGAAGTTGGTTAGATAAAAGCCAACTTCAGATGCCTTTTAAAAATTCTCTTTGGTTTGAATTTTCTAAATTCAACCAACCCTGTTTACAAACTCCTATTAGAGCAGCTATGCGATTTTGTGCCTTTAGACTTACAGTTTTCATTATTTTTTTTCTAGTAAAACTCATTTTTATGACTGATTGAATGAAGGGTTGGCACCTCTGACAGGGCCTGATTTCAAACCTCATAGTGACTGAAAAATAACTAGTCATGTAACTTGCACACTAGATATGATAAATGTTGAGTAAAACAATAAGTCTTGGATTTAAAATCACTGTCAGCTTTGTTCTGATTAAAAATACTATTTATTATTTGTACCAGAACCTTAAAACATACAAGCAAGAATGCAGCCCTACTATAATCATTTCTAAGATGGCAATATAAAACCTTTCAGTGTGACACATGTTCGAATAGAAACATGGACCACTTGGCTAATAAACGAGCATCAAGGCATGTCAGTGGGATAAGAGGTGAGGTTCACACTTGTGTGCATGTGAGTGGGGGGAGGGGTTGCAAGACTTACGGGGCTGTTGATTTCAACTCTTAAGTGGGGTTGACATCATTTGGAAATGTCACAAATCATCAAACATTCAGTGAAATTACTGATTGGTTGGGAGGAGAATATCAATAGCTTTCGACAAAAGTATTTCCATGAATGTATCTAATCTGTTTGACAGCCCTTTCTCACATCTTGTGCTATTGATTCCCATAATTTACAGGCACATGTTCTGCTAATGTGGGTGGGTACATTTTTTCAATCACTGTTTCTCTCCTCCAAATTTGTCACATACACATGCATGACCTAAATGATTTCTTCCTTTATAGGTGATCAAATGTGAGTTCATCATTATGGTAGAGCCTGGGAGAAATCAGTTCTTAGTATTCTACAGAGTTAATTTCCTCCTGGATATCAAGGGGTGAGACGGGAGTTCCAGCAAAACCCATTCAGGCCTCTTACAACTTCATAAGGCTGTCCCAGAACCTGTATGTGCAAAAGCATCCATGTTTTCTTTATTACTAAAGTGCGTACCATTAAAAGAAACAGCTTCATTCTCAAGTGAACACCATCTGCTGTCTTCTCCCTTTGCCCATTCCGTGACCTCTGTGATTTGTTGTATGTTTAATTTGTTAGGTCTAAACTTACATGCTTTGTCACTTCCTTTATTTTTGGAGGGTAATCTCCAATATATTCTGCAGTTCATTATATTCATGATGTAAATAAAATGTTCTTCCAAAGTTGAACCTAAAAATTAAAGTTGGACCTTAATTACTAACAATGCTATTCTATACATATCTACTCAGAAATATGCCCCATTGAGTTCAATCCTAAATACACATTACTCATACCGTGCCTTAAAAAGTTGTTCTAGACAGCCCGCCTGAAATGTCAATAGCACCGTGGCATTGTGTTAGCACAGTGGTGGGTGAGATGTGCCTAAGGTTTCATCCAAGCCTCCCAATTCTGATTTTTTCAATTATTGCAGGGTTGTTTTTTTAAAACAAATAACATTTTTAAAACAACTTACTTAACCTTTTTATTCCATTCCTTTTTAATGTCATTTTGACCGGGGTCCACAGAAGTACACTGCACACCAGAGGAACTTTGACTTTGTGTTCCTTAGTAGCTTGTCAATCATAATATGACTACTATTAATAATGCTTCAATATTAGGTCTCTTGACCTATTATCTTGAAAAATAATGCTAGGGGTGGGTTATGTTAGGGTCCCATCTTTAAGGCCCCATCGCACAGGTCACTGATTTTTCTTCCTGCTATTAACCTTTTAAAAAGACGGATAAAGAACACTAGTTACATTTTAAAAAATAGTAATTTCAAAGTAAGGAAGCCTGATTCTGGGGAAGACTCCAGTCTTGTATCTTTAATGGTTGTGAAAAATGTTCTATTACGTGTAGGAGCTGTTTTACATTTCACTTCAGAGTAACTATTAGTGCACAGCCTTGCAACCCTGTTAGCACAGATGAGTGGGCAATCTTACTTGCACAAAAATGTGGTAGCTGGTTCTTTTTCATTTCAGCTAAAGTTTCCCTTATATCTGAACAGACATTAGATATATAATATGTACAGTGAGATGAGGTACTTATTTTCTCCTTACTCAAAAATATTGACCAATTTAGTCTCCTCATAGGACATGTTTGACTTCTCAAGTGCTAGCATCTGGCAGAACCACCATTTTACAGAGTAGACCATGGGTTCTCAAGCTATGGCCTGGGGCTGGATCTGGCCCACAGTGGTTTGTTTGCTTGCTTGGGGAACACCATCTCCAAGCGAGCAAGCCACTGCCTTGTGCGCCCGCCTCGCAGCGGGTGCCCGCCCCACCTTGCCTCGGCTCCCCTTGCTGCGCCCACACGCCTGCGCCTCCCCTCCTCTCAACACATGCGCCTCACCATGCGCCCTGCCTCAGCGCATGCGCCTGCACACACCGCCCCTGCCCCCACCTCCTCACTTGCCCGCGCACATGACCAGGCACCACCTTTCTGGCCCACGCCCAGCACTGGCAGCTTTCAGCTGGCACCCTGGTGAAAAAGTTTGAGGACGCCTGCAGTAGACCAATGATGCTTTGATATGGAGGGATGGTGCTTAAACCAACCAAACTTCTCTGTTCAAGGCTTACATATATGAACTTTGGAGATTCAGACAGCTGTGTGGGTTTCTGGCTTTTGCTGTACTTTCAAAACCAGTATCTCCATTCCTGAGCATCCAAAGTAGACAAACTGGAATCATCCTTTAATAGAGATACAGTATTTTCAGCTAAAAAAGAAGCCTTAACTGAAATATGCAAAGACAATGCAACAGCCTTGAATAGGTTTAAAGGGACTTTGGTGGCTTGCCATGTATGCACATGATAAAGACCCAGACTTTTTTCTGCTTTGAACTTATTGTGATAATATTTGCACAAATAAATTGTTCCACTAGCTTCCACTGCTCAGTAAGTTATGTATATATAAGAGGCATTGACCAGCTTTGCAGCTAGCCAGCTGCTTACATTTTAGTTATTATCACTGAACTTTTCCAGGAAACTTTGGTCGGTATGGATGTTAGGTTGCAAATATGGGGGTTATTCACAGAGCTTTGGGATAAGTCATATACTTGCATTCTTCAATTTGTTACTGATTTCAATGAAATGCTCTCTGTTGTCAGTGACCACAAGTTAACTCTTACTCAGAGCAACTTGTTTTATGGGAAATGGGTAGATTCAAATATTTAGCTTCTTTTTCTAAACACTGAGAGATAAAGCAGTATTGAATAGATGTGGTTTCATAACTTTGAAATTCAGTGGTTTCTGGTTTGTACAGGGCTCCCCCACAATCTGAAACGTTGGAAACCTATAACACACATGTTATTGTGTTGCATTCCCAGCAGCCATGGCCATACTGGGCTGGTTTACACAAACAGTCCACTGTGGCTTGTTTAAGGCAAAATGGCTACAGAACATGCAAGTAGCCATTTTGAATATGTGTGCCATGGCTTGTCAACATTCAAATCGCACTAGAGGTAATGCAAAAGTTATATAATATTTGCATAACCTATGGTCTTCTTTTTTTAAAAAAATCACAGGACAAAAGATGAAAGATGTAGTCTTTCTAAGTCAAATATTTATACAGCCTCCTAGATAGGTAAAAGCCTTTCCACCATGGGCATCATCCAAAGCTTCCTGAAGAAGCAGAAAGACCACTTAGATCTGCTAATTCATAACAGTTGCTGTTAAGGCATAATTTCTCCATATTTTCTTATTCCTTAAACAAAAAGCATCATTATTTGCTTTCCAATTGACCTGTTTCCTACTTAGATTCCTTGTTCTAGTCATGTCTCAATGAGCCAAGGAGAGGTTGCAGAGAAAGTTTCCCTTGCTTCCTTTACCTATTCCATCCATACCATGGATACAGCTTAGATAAAGCTTCAGTCCCTTCCCACCAGCTCACATTCTCACTCAGCTTTTGCCCTGTCCTGGTCTCCGCAGTCTCAAGCTTTGCTCCAAGTGAACATCTTTAGGACTCACTCCAACTAAAGCTAGAACTCTGCCCACTAAACTTGTGTGACATAACACAAGGATGGCAGATGAACTGACAGTTCACCAGATTTTGTCTTTTGGCAAGTTCACATTAGTTTTTGAAGTAATGAAAAAAAGTCTTATTTTTTGGTGGGGGTGGGGCTTGGGGCTTTTTTGCTTTTTTTTGTCTACATGCCCTTTGCTTTAACTCAGCCTCTTTCAAAATCCACTGCAAGGTCTGACCAAATAGCATTGGTGGGAAACTGTAAAATGACCACAAGCAGGGCGAGTCCAAGTTTGTTCAGAAGCACATTCTACTATGCACAATGTGGCTGACGTCTAGGTAAGTGTGCATATGACTGCAGCCATACAGTACAAACCTGTACATGCCTAATCAAAACTAAGCCTCAACAAGTTTGGGAAGCAGTATAGAATCACCCCTTGATTTATCAGAAGGTATCACTCTGAAATACCTGGAGGTCTGAGTGCAAAGTTGCAGTCTTACTGTACTGTATGTTCTTTATTACATTTTAATTCTGTTGTTACCCACTCTGTTCTCTTGAAATAGGGAAATAAATGAATCTAAATAAATAATTCAACTGATATTCAATTAATGGCATTTTCTATACAGGTATTTGGGAAAACTGGAGAAAGTAAGAGAATGCAGGAAAGGCAAGATACACATGGGACTAGTTGCTTGAGATGTTTCAGAAGCACATGGTTGAGGAAACTCATCAAAGGGCTGCGTCTGATTTTGGAGAAGCTCTAGGCCATATTACAGTGAGTGGGGGGCACTGAAGGAAAAGGGGGTGGAGCCAAAGGCAAAAGAGGTGGGGCCAGAAACACCAGCATATTGTATTCTATAGTTTTTACTGTCTTAGGAGGAAGGCATTTTTTGAGCATGGTTTTAAAGGGGGGGGGGGAGTAAGGAGGGCACTATGTGTTGATTGGAAGAAAGAGGGTGGAGCCTGCCAAAGGGGCATGGCCTTTTGGAGAACTTTGTGGGGTGAGAGTAAGATTCCAGTTCTAGGAATTTGAGCCTTCCCAATCCCGTAGTGAAGAGTTCTAACTGTCCTTAAACTCTCCCAGATTGATGCTGATTATTTCTTATGACTAAAGAGGTTTTGTGTTGTATTGAGATCATTTATGTACCATGAACCTTATAGCATAAACCCCGTAAGACAACGCACTGTGTGATTTCCTGCACTCCTACTTTGGCGCTTTGCCAAACTTCCCTGTGAAAATGAAAATGTAAAACATTTACTCTGCTAATGCTGGGGTTTTTTTTGCAATGCATTGAATAAATATAATCAGGAGTCAGAGTTTAATTACTGTGCAGCTATTAGAGAATGTTTATGTTAGACAAAAGTACTTATGTACCAACAGAACTTTCATCCCAAAGTCCTGCATTTTTAAAGCATAGGTTGTGGAAACACTGGCAATAAAATAACATTAACTTGCTGAGATTTTACTTTTCAGAATCAGTGGAGGCCTCTCTTCCATGCCAAAACAACTAGCAATGAGGTTCCCATTGCATTAGTTTGTTGTACAGAACAGGCTTATGATTGCCTTTCAAATATGAAGACAATCCAATATCTATGTTATTTGCATAAGCTTCATTGGTGGTGGCAGAGAGGGGAGGTTATATCATCAGACAATAACATATAATTCAAGTATATCTATAAATCCTACTGTGCTTAATTGATGCTTTTGTTCTGCATCCTGATTCAGAAAGACACAATTCTTTAATTCTACAGGAGGCAACATGGGAGAATCTGTTAAAAGCAGGCTGTGGCTGAATCACACTGAAAATGATGGGATTTAAGTGTGCAGTTAAACTCTTGAAATCCCTTTGAATTCAATATAACTGAGAGGAAGTCCTCTGTAAATATCCCTCCCCTTATCCCATATTTGCCTGAGAGTACAAACATGGTATTGGGGAATCTGACATCTGCTGTACAACATCTAATCCAAGTGTAAATGTGCTAAAGGGTTATGTATTGCCCAGAGTATATGTTTCTGTCTCCACAAGGCCATAAATATTCCAGAGGTACCACAGCCTGCTTTGTTGGTGCTACCCAAAACAAACAAAACCAGTATTACTTGGCCCTTCCTCCACAATTATGCTCTAGGCAGTTAGCAGTGCTAAAATACAAGATAAAATACAAATTTATAATGCATGCAGAAATCAATTACTGTATTTTTCGCTCTATAAGACACACCTGACCATAAGACACACCTAGTTTTTAGAGGAGGGATCCATGGAAAGCTTCCTGATAATCACAGGCACATTCCCCATCACTTCCCCATGGGCTTCATTAAAAGATGGGTTGCCAACCAATCACACCAACCTGTGATTAACAGCTCTCACCTGCGCTGGAGGAGGGGGGCGGAGCAGGGCACACCGAGCGCGTGCCGGCCAGGTGGTGCCACATGGAGCAGCCGGGCCGGCAGCGTGCCAGCGGTGGTCTTCCGGGCGGCGCAGCAGGTCTTCCCGGGTGGTGGGGGTGAGCAGTCCGTCTCTCCGTGCGGCCGGTGGGTTAAAGCCCGCGGCTCCTCCTCCTCCGTGGCAGGTCTTCCCGGGTGGTGGGGGTGAGAAGTCCGTCTCTCCATGCGGCCGGCAGGTTAAAGCCCGCGGCTTCTCCTCCTCTGCAGAAGGTCTTCCCGGGCGGTGGGGGTGAGCAGTCCATCTCTCCATGGGTTAAAGGCCGTGGCTCTTCCTCCTCCGCACGCCTCCCCCTGAGCGGCACAGCTCTCACCTGCTCCGGGGTGGGGGCGGAGCAGGGCGTGCCGAGCACGTGCCGGCCAGGTGGTGCCATGTGGTGCAGGCAGCCGGCAGTGTGCCGACAATGGTCTTCCGGGCAGCGCGGCGGCAGCGGCAGGTCTTCCCGGGCGGTGGGGGTGAGCAGTCCGTCTCTCCGTGCTCTCCCTGCGGCCAGTGGGTTAAAGGCTGCGCCTCCTCCTCCTCCGCACCGCTCCCCCTGAGCGGCACAGCTCTCACTTGTGCTGGGGGGGGGGGGCGGAGCAGGGCGCGCCAAGCGCGTGCCGGCCAGGTGATGCCACGTGCTGCAGGCAGCTGGCAGCGTCCCGGGCGTTGGGCACACACACATTCGCTCTATAAGACGCACAGACATTTCCCCTTACTTTTGAGGTGGGGGGGAGTGCGTCTTATAGAGCGAAAAATACGGTAAAACATGTTGGTAGAATTAAGAAAATTACAACACCCAGCGTTAAAACTTACTTCAGCAATCAAGTCAGCTTAAAGGCCAAAAGTCGTTCTGACCTGGTGCACACTGTAACTGTGTGAAACCAGCAAGAGTGGCTTGTGGGCTGCTTGACAAGCGAACCAGAACCCATGGTGTGGTTTCGGGTTACAGGTGGCTTGTCACGAACCCCAACAACTCAGACTTACTAATTTCACACATGACGACAAGCTACAGTGCCTTCCCATCCATGGTTTGACTATTCAGAATGGTGTCTGCTACCACAGCAAATAGTGCTGGAGGGAAGTTCCATGATGGTGCCTTTTTATGTGTGAAGAGAGCCTCTGAGTCAACCTGACTGTGCCTGCTAAAAGAAAGACATGAAACAGAAACCTGTCAACTCTTGGCAGGAAGTGCTAGAACTTAGAAACAGCCTTCTCACACATTGGCTGTCCTTCATATTGCCAACTAAGGTGCATCTGATGACAGTGGGAGAAAGAGAGGAGCATCTACTGAGCCTCTCAAAATCCAGGCAGGCTCACATGGGAAAATGCCATCATTTGTTTTACTTATTCATTGTATTCAATGAACAAATAAAAGTTTAAAATGGTACCAAATGCTTTGCATTGTGCCAATTACTGCTACTGTAGGAATATACAGTTTTTTGCAGCTCTCCTCGTGTTGCTTTAATGCTTTGGTGTTTCTTTTCAAGCAGAGATGGTGAAGAGTTAGGGGTTCATATAAAATATGAGGTTCTAAATATGAATCTCTAATTGTATATGCTGTACAGTTTCAACTCTTGGGTTGTATAGACAGGTAAGTAAATGTTTAACAGGGTCAGCTACATAGGCTGGGCATCCAACAAACACATTGTAAAAAACATGTTTGTGAATGCTTAATCATTGTTTTTCTGCCTATTCCCATCATTTCCTGGTTTGATATCTAGGTCTGATGAAAAGGAGTATGGCCCTTTTCATGTAAATGAGGTGCAAATAGTCACAAAAGTCCAGATCCTCCATCCATACTAATAAAGCTACAGCATATCTTTTTGTGGCTGAGGAATGCTAATCAATACTAATTTTCTTGTTGTTCCTGCCCATGTAGCTATGTTACAGTCAGATAAAAGATTAAAAGGCAGTTGCATTTGCTTATTTAGCATTTCTGATATTATACTATCATTTTTTCCCTTTGGAATAGTACTTCATGTAGGATTATACAACCTGGAAGGAAAGGTTTTCCAATACTGAAAAGAATTAAATGAACCCTGGGAGATCCAAGTTCTAGTCCCCATTAAAGCTGACTGGGTGACCTTGGGAAAGTCATGAACTCTCAGCTTATCCTATCTCACAGGGTTGTTTTGAGGATAAAATGCAACTACGTAAGCCATCTTGGGTTCCTCGCAAGAGGAAAAAGGCAGAGTATTAATGCAATGCGATGGTGCTGATGATTATGATGGGTGCAGTCCTATGAACATTTAGACAGGAAGAAGTTCCACAATTCCCAGCATAGCTGGAAAATACAGCCTTAGTCAGTACACCTTGATCTACGCCTTTTTCCATTTCTGTTTCCTCTGGTATTTATACTGAATTTAGACAAAGAATCTGTATCCTGTTCATTCCCTTAAAAATTTTCTTGAAGAGAAGGTCTTGTCTTCAGTGTTGTAGAACGAGAGTATAACATGTCCTGAGTTAGAGGAAAGGTTGGAGATCCCATTTGTGGATCCTGGTGGCTTACCTAGACCTACTAGCATGTCTACTCAAAAGTAAGCCCCACTGAGTCCCAGGTAAGTCTGTATGGGCTTGGTAGCCAGAATAGATGTGCCTCTAAGTGGACATACATTGGATTGCATTCTAAAGCTACAATCCCATACACACTGATCAGGAGTAACCTACATTGAATGCAATGGTGCATAAATTGGAGTAAACAGGTAAAGGATGGCACCGTTAGACACTGTCCATGTTTGTCTTCTCTCTTCTCCCTCTTCTGCTCTGCACTAAGGGAAGACTTTGTGTATGTTTTCAGAGACCATCCCTGCTTATTACTTCCAAGACCAGTCTATTAGCAATTTGGCCAATGGCTGATGCACAGAGGACAATAGCAAATAAAACTAAACACTTTGCTCTTCTTGAGGAGAAAGAGCTGATTAAGAAGATTAACTAGGAGTCTTTCCCTCCCAGTTCAATGTTTTTTGAAGTCGTAACAGAGACGAGGTTAACCACTGTAGCAATATGTCCCCTTTCAAAATGAATAGTGCCCATAATATACAGCAAACACTAGTACCATTTTCCTTTGGAAGTTAAATCATTAAATCCATTAGGAATAGGAATGAACCTAAGATATTTTCTAGTGAATGAAAGGATCAGTTGTGCTTACCAGGAGAAAAATGCCAGTGGTGT